ATTTTGAGAAGAAGATTTTGAAAACAACTTGATCAATCAGTGACTGATCATTGACGTTACCTTATACATGCATTAACTATACAACTTGATCGTAAGGCTGCTAAATTATCCAACGGCACATATGGACAGAAATAGATTACGTCTGTGTAAATTAAAGCGTAGTTGTAACTTGTTCAGGAAAACCACTCCTACAATCCAATGTAGCAAAAGTCAAGCTCAAAGTCTGTTTTGTGTCTGCCAATTGCTGAGCATTTCCGTTCTTACAATCCGATGAAGGGGACACAAGAAAAAAAATGAAAGATGTCATATATATATATATATATATTTTCTTTCATTTCATTATTGACATCCATAGGGTAGTAACTAATGCCTGAATCAACTTGATTCGGGTTCTAAAATATATAAACAATGGCCATGTTTGGTAGCTTATATTGCATTGTATTGTATAAAGTGTATATTGTATTGTATTGTGTTGTATTATCATAATATAATACGGTGTTTGATGTCATGACATATTGTATAAGGGGTCAAAATACAAATATTTAATAATTTTGGGGTTAAAATGTAATTTTTGAAAAGTTTTGAGATCAAACTGTAATTTTTTTAAAAAATTTGCGGTCAAAATGAATTTTTATAAAAATTTTAGGGTCAAAGTGTAATTTTACAAAAGTTTTGGGATCAAAATGTAATTTTTAATAAATATAAAATTTGTATTGTGCTCCTAAATTTTTTAACAATTATAGGCTCCAACATGACCATATATTGGCCCGACTCCGACTTCTAGTCCTGCCCAATTCCGACATAAATTATTGATTTGCTATAAAATAATACAATATAATACGCTAAGAATGAGTTGTATTTAATAGTACGACATAGATCGTATTAATTTACTATCTGTATTAGTTTATATAATATGATGATCACACTAAATATTATATTATTGTATTATTATACAATACGGTATTTTTAAACAAGCATGTCCTATATATATAAAACCTAACCTAGCTGATGGAATGGATCAAATTAAGTAAATCCCACTTAATTAGTGTTCTTAATTATCTTTGGATCTCAAAGCATGAGTCAAGTTTCTATAGGATGATCATCAATAGCCAAAAGGATTATTGACTTTGATACTTGATAGGCTTGCTAGACAAGTATTAACCCAACCCACTTCCCAAATGTGCCAACACACAGAGTTTGCATAACGACATAAACTGGGGCACGAATTTTGGGCTTAATTATGCCAATATATTCTAGTGAAGCCTTTGCTCCGCTGAATTTTGGGTTATTGATTCATGATAACAAAGCCAGATCATGATCACAATTCACGGTAAAGGCCCATTTTGTTTTTGTTTTATGGAATGACCCACAATATATTGTTAATTTGTTATTCAGTTATGGTAAAAGAAGGTAGGAATAAAGTTGGATTGGAACTACTTTTTTCCTGGAAAATGAAATGGCAGTATAGCAAATGGCAACCCCCCCCCCCCCCCCCCCCTCCCTTTCTGTAGTGCGTAGGCCATACTGTGAAAGCTTTTTGACCTCAACGTAAAAGCCGGTTCTCGTTCGTACATTGCCCAAGGGAAGTGACATTGACATCTTAATCATACGTTGATTGAAGATAATTTAATTACTAACTATCGTTTAGTTCATTAATTTAAGTTTTTAATTTAAATTAAGATATTATTTATGTGAAAAAATTTTACTATAATAAAAAAATTTAATATGATTATTTTTTAAAATTTTTTACTGTAATAAAATTTAAATTTTAAACTCAAATTTATAAAATGAATAAGGCCTAAACATATTTATGTAGTCGTATTAGTTAAGTGATGATTCTGAATTCGGTCCAATTTTTAGAGAAAACCATAATCTATATGGAGTCGCATTACGTTGTAAAAGGCACCAAATTGCCTGATACTAATGGCATTACAGTTGTAAAGGACAATATAGAATTTTTCTACACATGATATAGGGAAAATAATAATAATAATAACGATTTTTTTTTCTCTTATACTTTTTGGTTGCTTGATTGGATGGTGAACTCTTTCCCTTACAGAACTTGATAAATATAATTTCTTTTGCTCTTTTTCTTATTCTTTTCTTTTTTTTTTTTTATAAATGAGGATGAGAATTCGAACTCTTATGTCTCGTTTGTTTCACCGATTCGAGTTTTCAGTTATAGATTTCTATAGTTAAAAACTCTCAGAAAATTCACATTTAACTTTTTCTGTTACAGTTAAAACTTATCAGAAAATGTCACATTTTAGCTCGAATTGAAAACTCGAATCCGTGAAGCGAACTAGGCCTTAATTAACTTTAAAATCAATATTAGAGATAGAGGTAAATTTTCTTCTAACCTATGCTTGCAACCAAGAATGATCGAATCAATAAGATAGCGTGTCTTTGAAACTGTTTTCTAAAGTTAGATCTGCATAATTTTTTATATTAAAGAAGATCATATTGGAGTGATTTACAGTTTGTTATATGGACTTTTGAATTCGTCCAATTCATAGTGTGAGCATGTATAGTAAAGGTGACACAATTCGTAGGGATTGATTAAAGGTAAAAACCACTTTGGATTGATTCTATTCGTCCTTTAACAAAAGATAAAACACTAATGGGACACACTTATATATACTCTCTTTCTTTCTCATTGTCTCGTATCCAGTCCCAGTTCTTGTTTTCATGACTCGAGCAAAAACAAAAGTCAAGTTTTTATTATATAATATATATTTTTTCTTTCACGTATTCTTTCGTTTTACTTATACACGTCACAATGGAAACGTTAATACATGGAAATCACACCAAGCTTTCGATCTTTTTACTATAAGTTAAATATCTAATTTTCTGTTTAATGCCAGATCATATAATTTTCTTTCCTCTCTAATCCTTAATTTGTAGCGTAATGACGCATGTGTAACACGTTGAACGACTTCGTGTGCTTTATCCTTTAAACACTAACTAAAGGACATGAAGCTCTGAGCATCTTATGCTTTGTTGAATCACACTTAGCTTTTACGAATACTGGTAGATTGTAACATTTTTGTTGCTTTTTTTTTTCTTATTATTTGTTTTCCTTACTTTAGGAACTAAAATAATTTAAGGTCCGTTTAATTTATTGATTTAAGTTGAGATGTGATTTTATATGATAACTTTTTACTGTAATAAAAAAATTAAATGTAACTATTTTTAAAAACTATTTACTATAATAAAACTCAAATTATAAACTTTTATTACATTTTAAACTCCAATCCATGAAATAAAATAAAAAATTTTAAACAAAAGAAAGAATAAGTACATTGCGTCTTTTGAGAAATTTATGTGATTTAAATAAATGGAAGAAGACAAATTTGTAGTAATGCGCCACTTTCTCATGGTGTCGGTGGTCACTTGGAAATTAAGCACTTTTTATTGGATAATAATTGGAGAATAAAGTTATATCATTGGTCTCTTTTTTTTTTTTTTTTTTTTGTCGAACGTATCATCTAATTTTTCTAGATTACTTGTAACCCATATTCCCTAAAATATTTATCCACAAATGCTACGTACTCCAAAGAAAATGGAAAAATTAAAAAAAAGGCCAATTTATGAACATTTTAAAATGATTTCACTTTGAATTATATAGAAATAAAAATTACATTTTCTTAGAACATTATTAGGACCATTTCTAAAATGCATTTTGTTCTTTTTCAATAGAGAGTGTTATGAATACAAGAAAAAAAAAAAAAAAAAAAAAAGAAGCTGTATTTAACTATGTTTTTCACGATATGTGTCGAGTATATAAAGTATAAAGCCTTAAAATATGAAAACGAAAGAGGAAAACGACTCATTTTCTTTTCCCTCAACAATTGTAACGGTTGATCCTGCCTAGCAACCATTCTCATTAGCATTAGATAATTAGTTGATTCCATATCTGATCACTTCAGTGCTTGTGTTTTCCTTTTTAATTAATTTAGCATTTTGGTCTAGTACAAAAGTTATTTGTTTATACAGCTGTCAACTTTTACTTTTGTTTCATGTTATCACTTTCTCGCTTTAATCTCTTCTTTCTTCATCATTCCAAAAAAAAAAAAAAAAAATAAATAGAGTGAATAGGTACTGCCTTGTCATCTCTACTTTGTCCTATAAATATATGCTGTAGAAAGTTCCACTAAATGATTACTATTCCATAAATTAATTGCCAACATTTTTCTTTCCCTGATCAAATTAGATGCCAACTTAGTGAAAGCAAAAGATACACCATCATATATATATAATATAAACAACGTTTAACAAATATTTTCTCAATTTTCCTCTACCACAGAAGCGAAACAATATGCCCGTAGTATATAAATAATTCCAGGAAAGAACAGCAAGAATAACGTGGTTGCTTTTTTTACTGGGAACTATAGAAAATAGAACTTAAAAGAAAAGAGGATCATTCGATGCGTACTGTTTACAATGCCACTGAATTCTTTCTTTTCGTTTCAATTATAAATTTTCAATGGAATAAAATGCTTTTTTGTCATATTTTAGCTATGTTGGTCGCGGCAAAAACCAGGGGCTTATACTTCAATCGATGAGAAAATGGAAAATGTAAGCTTGAAATTAATCAAGAGACATAAAAAACATAGAATCTAGTCGTATATCAGGTTTCCAACGCTTCCGAAAAAGTACCATGTCTGTAAGGCTAAAAGAAAAAAAGAAGAGAAACAATAATATTTGTCCGAGCCGGAAAAGAAACTAGGAAAAAAAAAAAAAACCGAGAAAATAAATCCAACATAATTGAGTGAAGTCAACTAGATCATGACCTAACTGTTTATAGTCCAAAGCATGCTATGTAATCAAACTGACGCCAATAATAGTATAACTCTAATCATCTCTCATATTATATTACTGATTATTACGTGGAAATTTCTAAATGTATCATTAGAAATATATCTTTTTTTGGAAAAAAAAATGTAAAACCTTAGTTTCTCCACATGGAGAGAAGCAAATTTAATATAAGTATGCCATCAATGTTTTGACATTCACCAACAAGCACATTCGAAGTAAAGATGACCCCCTTCCCAACACTTTTCCTGTCACTATTCACCCTACTCTCCACTTCCTCACCCGGACTAGTACTTTCCCAACAAGCTGGATGCGATCCGCCGCAACGTCCCCGGCCTTTCCCACGTGTCCGCCCCCGCCCGCCGCTCTACCCGCCGGGCCTAAACCTACTGCCGACCCAACCACCAAACAACCCCGGACCCCTGGCCAACAGGGCTAGAATCCTCTTCATCACCCAAGAGCTCAAGCGCAACATTACCTACGACCCTTTCAACTACACCGGTACATGGGTGGGCAACAACTACTGCCTCTTCAAGGGCTACTACTGCGACACCGTCCCCGACCTCAACATCACCGGTCTCGCAAGCATTGACTTCAACGGCGCCAGATTCGGAGGCCGTTTCCTCAACTTCTACCGCTATAGCCGAAACTTACCCGACATCGCCCTCTTCCACGCCAACTCCAACAACTTCTCCGGCGTCATCAACCGCAACATCAACCAGCTTCGTTATCTCTACGAGCTCGACCTCAGCAACAACAGGTTCCTCGGAGCCTTCCCTTTCTACGTCCTCGGAGCCACCAACCTGACCTTCGTCGACCTCCGGTTCAACCGCTACGCCGGCGGGGTTCCAACTCAGCTTTTCAACATTGACACCGATGTCCTTTTCATCAACAACAACGGCTTCGCCAACACAATCCCCACCAACTTCGGCAACACCCCCGCCAGCTACCTCACCCTCGCAAACAACAACTTTTCCGGAACGATCCCGACCAGCATCGGTCGTGCCTGGAACACCCTAAAGGAGGTTGTGTTCCTCAACAACCGGCTCACCGGTTGTCTCCCTTACGAGATCGGGTTTTTGGGCCAGGCCACGGTGTTCGACGTTGGCGGGAACCTCTTGACCGGCCCAATACCGCAGTCGTTTGGATGTTTGAGGAATTTGCAGTACTTGAACTTGGCTCACAATCAGCTTTACGGCCTAATTCCGGAGTCGCTGTGTAGGCTGCCGAATGCTTATAACTTTACGTTGTCGTATAACTTCTTTACGCAAGTTGGGGTGCAATGTAGGAGGCTGATTAGGGCTGGGACGCTCAATGTCCGAAGGAACTGCATATTGGGACTTCCCGACCAGAAATCGACGGCTGAGTGTGGTCGTTTCTTTTCTAGGGCTAGGACTTGCCCGCGTGAGAATACATTCAGCATTGTTACCTGCAATATCTCTGCCACGGCGTCGTTGGTGGATGCTCGGAAACTTGAGGAGATTGCCGCCCCTCCGCCGCCGCGGACCTATGCTGTGCTAGAGAAGGATCACCACTGATTGTGATATCTATTGGTGTTACGTGCTATGTTTAAGTGAATAAGCTGTCGTACATACGTGCGGTATATTTTCAATTATCAGGTCTGTAATTAATTTCCTGTCTTTAAGTGGTTTTTGTGTTCGTGTTTCTGTTTGTCTTTTTGGTATTTTTTTTCCTTGTGGAAAAAATTATTTGTGTGGGAATTAATGTGCCGTCTGGTAATTTGAGTATTTTTATGTCTTTCATGTAGAAAAAACAGGGAGATTTCCTGTTGTTCACTACAAGGGTTGTATTATATTTCCTAATAGTCGTAAAGAAACACTTCCGCTTGCTGGGCCAAAATGTGTGTGTTGTAGACTTGTCTTCATTTGACCACAACTTTGAGCTGGACGATCTTCGGCCCCGTGTACTAATATTTCTGTGCGTTCAAATTGTTCTTTTTTCCCAATGGAATAAATGTGGTAACGAGGTAATAATTGATGTTTTATGTTCGTTCATTTCATCGATTCGACTTTTGTTATAATAAAAAATTCTCATAAACAATCTAATTTATTTTTTTTACTACTATAAAAAAATCTCACATAAAATTACATCCCAACTTGAATTAAAAACTGAATCAACAAATTACAATAAAAAACTCATAAAATATCACATCAAACATATGACGTAAACGACATGACGTCTTTTATTTGAAAGCACTCTTCTTAGTAGTTGTCTGTTGATTATATGAAAAACGACATCTCGTTTTTGGGTTTGACGGCTTGCTTTCTTTTAATTAAAAATTGACCACGTGTTTCTTGTTACATGTCACTTTGTAGTCTTAGGTATGCTATTGCAGTGTCGGTTGTGTCTAAAATCGACAGCGCCTTTTAAAGAGGAAAATTTTATACGTTAATTTAGAAAAACTTAAGCCTCGTTCACTCCACGGATTCAAATTTTTAATTTGAGTTGAAATGTGATATTTTGTGAGAACTTTACACTGTAACAGAAAAAGTTAGATGTGACATTTTTTGAGAACTTTTTACTGCAGAAACTTAAAACTGAAAACTCAAATCGGTGAAATGAACGAGGCCCAGTGTCTGACCGGAACGGCAGTTGTATAATTCTATATAAATTGTGTATATTTACATGTAAAGTCTCGTATATTTAACTTGAAATACAACAAATCAGTCAATATACATATTTTCATATTATGTGTTCACTAATTGCTATAAAAAAATACATATTTCGAGGATTAATATACATTATCATTTCTTATAACTTAATATATACATCTTTACATGTAAATATACATAATTTTATGTAAATATACACGACTTTTTTCTTAATATACATTGGTGTTCTGTTATATATATATATATATCCATATTTAAATTTTGGTTTAAAAATTCTAAAGTCATTAAAGGTTGCCTTTTGAATTTTAAAAATTCTTGTTTTATCTCTTAAATCTTAAATTAATCTCATTTAATCCCTAATTCTATTAGATTTTTATAAAAAAAAAAACAAAAATAAAAAAAGAGGAGAATAAGGACTCGTTCATTTCACCGATTCATTAATCTCATTTAATCCCTAATTCTATTAGATTTTTATAAAAAAAAAAAAACAAAAATAAAAAAAGAGGAGAATAAGGACTCGTTCATTTCACCGATTTGAGTTTAAAATTCGAGTTTTGCTACACTAAAAAGTTCTAAAAAACAGCTACATCTAACTTTTTTACTACAGTATCAAGCTCTCACATAAAGTTACATCTCAACTCGAATTAAAAACTCGAATCAACGAACTAAACGGGCCCTAAATGTAATCAAGTGGTTTTTTTTTAAATTTATTTTTAACAGAAAGACCATGTGAATGTGATTATATTATTTCTTTTTTTATTTTCTCAATCTATTAAAATTAATTTTAAATTTAAGAGATAAAATGAGAGTTTTTCAGCAAAGTGGAAATAACCTAAGGTTTAGAGGGCACTCACGAAAATAATTGTTCTTAAATTTTCTTATAGTTGCTCGTTATTGCTTAAAGTTATAAGTTTTCATAAGAGAAACGACACCTAGTATGTACTCTGTATCATTAATCGAAAGTGAGCCTTAAATGATAAACTGCGTGAAGTTTCCTATTAACGACGTATCGTACTTTAGAAATCTTTGGTCGTTGACATGAAAACTACATGTAGTTTATTATTTGGCATATTAACGAATAGTCGTTTTTCTCACGTTTGTTGCTGCTTATTTAGCAAACTACATATCGTTACGAGATCGCAAAATATGTTACTTTGTTGTTTTAAGCATTTCGTCATTTCTGAATTCTGATTCCTCTATAGTTGAACATCTGGAAGCCAAAATCGAACAGTAAGATCTGGTTGTCAAGAACCCATTATAGATGCATAAGCGGCTCCGGTCTGTATCTCTGAACAGCTTTGGTTTTTTTTGCTCATGAACTGCTTTGGTTCATTATACTATATTGGTCTCTAAATCTTTTGTGTTAACAATACTTATTTTGCTCGGTGTCTGACTAGTACTTAACCGCGCGCGTTTATATTTTTTTCCTTGTCGCTGAGCGTTAGTTGTAGTTTATAAAATCTTTAAAATTTGTCGTCAGCTAATTATACATTGTGTTTTAAGTTTCATGTGGTTCTATTTAATTATTACGTTTCCGATTAGAGAACTCGGTAACCCACATATTAGCTGCTTTTACTTTTTTTATATTCATGGGATGTTATATATGTTTGGCCCTAGGTTTAGCAGTTGTTTTGTACAAGCTGATTTAGCTAATATTGAATAAATCAAGCCATCTTCCTTTTAAAAATATATATATTTCATATTTATTGATATGTCCGCTGTTTACTGCTAAAATAAAAGTTGTTTTTTAAGTTAAAAAATACATGTCGTTTCATTTATGGTATTTGCCGTCTTTTATTCATATAATACGACATATTTCTTTATGGTAAATGTTACTGTCGTTTATCCGGGAATGTGCGACCAAATAAATCCAAATATCGGTATTTTTCAGTAAAGAATATCCTCTGCATAGGGTAGAATACAATGATTTCTTCTTCTTCTTCTTCCTCTTCCTCTTCCCCTTCCCCTTCCCCTTCCTCTTCTTCTTCTATCGAAAAGAACATCACTTGAAATAAATTACTTTTTTTGTTCTTCTTCTTCTTCTTCTTCTGCTATCGAAGATCACGAGAAGAACGTGACTAATTTTAAAGGGAAAGATGACAAATACCTTTTAGAGTGTATGAGTCTAGATTCTTTCCTTTTACTTTTGATTAATATCATTTTTATCATTTAGAGTTCATGAGTCTAGATTCTTACCTTTTACTTTTGATTAATATTATTTTTAGTCAATTACTATATTATTTAAAAGGGAAGACCCTTCCCCTTCCCCTTCTTCTATCGAAAAGAACATCACTTGATATAAATTATTGTTTTTGTTCTTCTTCTTCTTTTGCTATTGAAGAACATGACTAACTTTAAAGTGAAATGAGACAAATACCCTTTAAGTATATGAGTCTAGATACTTTTGATTAATATCATTTTTAGTCAATTACTATATTATTTAAAAGGGCCTTCCCCTTCCCCTTCTTCTTCTTCTTCTTCTTCTTCTTCTTCTTCTTCTTCTTCTATCAAAAAGAACATCACTTGAAATAAACTATTGTTTTTGTCCTTCTTCTTCTTCTGCTATCGAAGATCATGAGAAGAACATGACTAATTTTAAAGGAAAATGAGACAAATACCCTTTAGAGTGTATGAGCCTGGATTCTTACCTTTTATTTTTTATTAATATCATTTTTATCCTTTAGAGTGCATGAGTCTGGATTATTTCCTTTTACTTTTGATTGATATCATTTTTAGTCAATTACTATATTATTTAAAAGGGTCTTCCCCTTCCCCTCACCCTTCCCCTTCCCCTTCTCCTTCCCCTTCTTCGTCTTCTTCTATCGAAAAGAACATCACTTGAAATAAATTACTGTTTTTGTTCTTCTTTTTTTGCTATCGAAGATCACGAGAAGAACGTGACTAATTTTAAAGGGAAATGAGACAAATACCCTTTAGAATGCATGAGTATGGATTCTTATCCTTTACTTTCAATTAATATCATTTTTATCCTTTAAAGTGCATGAGTCTGGATTCTTACCTTTTTATTTTTGATTAATATCATTTTTAGTCAATTATTATATTATTTAAAAGGGTATTAATTAAGAGTAAAAGATAAAAATTCAAACTCATGCACTCTAACTCTCTGAGTATAAGTTCAACAATTTTCTCCAATTTTTAAGCTCATATTGGACAAGCTTTCTCAATTCAATTCCTAGATCCCTTAGAAGGAAATCCATCTAAAAAGTTAGCAACATATAAATTTCATATAATCACGCTTTCTGTACCTCTATTAGTACGTAGTTTTAGTTTAAGATAAAACCAACCATGTCCATTGTAAATATAGCAGCATCAACAAATTGCAAGAGAGACAAACTTGGCCTGCTTTCTTTTCTATTAATAGAGCACTCATATATAAACCGTCGTCACCAAAATGGTAATGCTGGCGCCTAGCTGGACCCAATTACACTTATCCTCCACAAAGAAACTGGCACTGGAATATCCAGCATGAAAGTAGGAAACTTGAGCCTTAAAAAATTGTTAGAATTTAAGAGTAAATCGACCACTCCAACAATCAACAATAAACAACACAATACATACATACATAAATACATACATACGTACATACATACATAAATACATATACTGCGACAAAACTGATGAGTTGATCTGTTCTCAGTTGACTAGCTTCATCGTAATAAAAAGATCCCTCAAAATACAGTAAGTCATAACCAATTGGTCATTTCCTTTGGACACTGTCATTGAGTTGGTTATAGGTGAAGACTTAAGACTTGTACGGCAGTTAATTTGTCTGAGCACCTCACCGAACAAAACAGTGGCTACTCCGCATCATTCATTATTGTTTTCTCCCATTCTTGATCTGGTATCACCACTTATGACCCACCACGCCTAGTACCAAGCGAAACATTTTTTTTTTTTTTTTGGCGAAAGAAGAACGTTAGCATTTTTTTTATTTTTTTAGTGTGGACAAAAAAGAAGAAGAAAATTTGAAAAAAAAAAAAAAAAAATTGTATTGCGTTAATACATGAAAGAGAAATGAATCCCTATTTCTGACGCAACCATCTCTTCATATTAGGCTTCAACGTCCAAATATTCTCATTGACTTTCTCAGCTCTCAAAACCCACTTAGACAAACACCAAAAACAAATTAAGAAAAGAATGATTCCCATCTTTCCCATCCTACTAGCGTCTCTCATTCTAAACGCTGTACCGCATTACGCCGAGAAACAAAAAGTCGAATTTGTCACCAGCCACCACCGCAGCAGAGGCAGATCACCACCACCACCACCAACTACGCCGAAACTTCTCGAATTTGCAGACGAAAGGCTTGCTGTAGTTTACCCCGTCATCCAAAAATTCAAGTCCATCATAACCTCTGATCCTTTAAACATCACCAAGTCTTGGGTTGGCTCTGACATCTGCAACTACACAGGCTTCTACTGCGAAAGCCCTCCAGATAATGCTTCCGCCATGGCCGTTGCTTCCGTCGACTTCAACGGCTTCCAACTTTCTGCTCCGACGCTCGACGGCTTCCTCGACCAGCTTCCAGACATAGCTCTTTTCCATGCAAACTCAAACAACTTCTCAGGAACTCTCTCTCCCAACATCGCCAAGCTTAAGTATCTCTACGAGCTTGATGTAAGCAACAACAAATTGTCTGGGTCCTTTCCCAATGCTGTTCTCGGCATGGAAAGCCTGAGTTTCTTGGACATAAGGTTCAATCTCTTCACCGGGTCGGTCCCACCTCAGATTTTCCTGCAGATTAATCTCGAAGCCCTCTTCATCAACAACAACAATTTCACGCAGATAAAGCTTCCGGATGATCTCAGAACGAGCTCTCATATCATTTATCTAACCTTGGCAAACAACAAGTTCATAGGCCCAATTCCGCCATCAATCGCGAAACTGTTTTCCTCTGTGACTGAGGTTTTGCTTCTCAACAATGAGTTAACCGGTTGTCTTCCTTACGAAATAGGGTTTCTGAAAGAGGCGGTAGTGTTTGACGTTGGTAACAACCGGTTGACCGGTCCGTTACCCTTCTCTCTCGCGTGTTTAGAGAAGGTGGAACAGCTTAACTTCGCCGGTAACTTGTTGTACGGCATGGTACCGGAGGTGGTCTGTGATGAGCTGAAGAATTTGGCAAACTTTTCGTTGTCGGATAACTATTTCACGTATGTTGGTCCTCTTTGTAGGAGATTGATTGAAAGAGGCGTTCTTGATGTTAGGAGAAATTGCATTCCTGATCTTCCATACCAGAGATCCATGGAGGAATGTGGGGCATTTTTTTCGTATCCTAGGAGGTTCTGTCCCTACATGTGGTCTTATAATCACATTCCCTGTCAGCCTCCTCATTACCCTAGATATTCTCGTGCTTCTTCGAGCCCTCAAGTGCCTTCCCCACACTGACCCCCTCTGCTCATATTCCAAGGGACAAAGTTTGAATCATCTTTTTTTTTTTTTTTTTAATTTTTACTTGTAATCTCAAGAGTTGAATTAGGAATTGTACGCATGGTAATTCAATATAATTACATGCCTTTGAGACTCGACCATATATATGGTCTTGAAAAGTTCAGTCGTGCAATATTGTATTCATGACCAATCACATTAATGTATCCATTAACGACGACAATGTGTTCAAATACGTGGACACTAAATATCCATTACTGTATGTATGTATGTGTTTATCATTGTTGAATTTGAAAAAATATTATAATCTAGTAAGAAATTGTTAATGGAATGCATTGCAGTGGGTTAGACAACACTAAATGGTGTTATCTGTGCAGCCATGGGCACTGCAGCGCCTATTTGGTGCGCTGCAGCGCCTGCTAGAGAAGTGCCTGCGCACTACAGCGCCAGCTGTGTAGCCCTTCGGGGCATGTTGCTCTGGTTCATGCGCTGTAGCGGGAAAAACATCCGCTGCAGCGCCAATTCTACAGAAATCTATGATTTGTGTGTGATTTGTGATCCGAAACATTTCAAATTATTGTATCCATTAGTGATATACATTCACACATATCTGAACACCTATTAAGAATAAATATAACTGTTGTAATATATGTATTAATTAATGAAGAAATATCTTTACAATGAAAATGTACATTTATATGAATAGTTGTGATGTTTGAAGAGGATGTGTTCATTCATGAAATGACACATCTGTCTTTATTAATTTTTCAAAAAATTTACAGACTTTATTCATATTCTGAAACACAATATTATTGGTAGATAACGTGTCCAATAATTTGTTGTATTTTGGGGTAATTTGCAATAGAAACTCATTAGCAAACTTTGAGAAGTAAGTGCAAATAAAACCTTAAAAAAAATATTCCTATACGCCTCAAACCCATCTCGATTTCTGATTTCTTTTCATTTTTTTCTTCCTCTACACAGAAAATTCTCCAACAGCATTGTACGGTATGCTTACGAACTAAAGATGCATGACCTCTTTTCTTTTTGCCCTTGAGTTTATTTAGTAGAGGTATAAGTAAAAATTTATGACATGTTTACTTGTCAAGATTAACATATTTACTTACTCTTTTTTTTTTAATTCCAAGAGAATAGAATTAGTGGACCCTACAAAAATTTGATATTTAAAAATGGGATTGGCATTCATATGTCCCCCTCCGAATTGAGACTCACAATCATGATATTATTATTAAATTACTATTTTATTCCAATTTACTTATAAATGTTGGATTAAAAATAAAATACAAAATAAACATAATTACAACCTACATGTACTATTTCATATACATAATATTATAATATTAGCCTGATTTTATTAGCCTAATTATTTTTTAAAAAATTATTTCAACTTTTGATACTTTATTTTTATTTTTGTTTTATTATATACAAAACTTGACAATCTATTTTTGTTTTTCTTTGTAAAAAGAAATAGTTACACAACTTATTCTTACAATTTAATTATCCTAATATATAATAATTACTTTGATTATGATTAACATTTAATAATTATACTTTATTTTTTAAATTAAAAATACAAAAATTAATTAAAAGGTATATAAGTAAATCTATAACAGTTCATTTGATTCTGTGTTCAAGTAAATGCATGAATGATATTTAGACTGACTCTGATTATTTATAAGCCTGCAACCTAAGTAAACAATTTATTTTCTTTTTAATTTCTCACTCCAAATCCTCCCCATCCTAAGTCATATCCCTTCCAATTCATGTCCACCCGCCCGATTACAAATAAGTAAACATAATACCATCATGAACTTTGGGTGGGGGGCGCATTTTATACCAATCAATATAAATAAAAAAGTTTATGATTGAAGATATCAGTATAATGATTATATACTGTCTATTTATTAATGATTTTACTCAGTCAATCTTATACTTACATACCAACTCAGAAACTCACAAGTTTCTTCATAAAAAGGGATTCATATGACAATTACTTTTTCTTATAGATATAAAAAAAAAAACAAAAAAACTCATCATATAGTAGTGGTATTTATCAGATAATATATAGTTATCAAAAAAAGGGGAAAACAAAAAATGGTCCAAATTGGACAGTACAGCAATCCTGCTGAATATGCAGGTAAAATAACTTTTGTAGGGACATCAAATGCTGGCAGGCTATAATCATAATAATAATAAAAATTAAAAAGGGCCCCTGCTTGAGTGAGGTGAGGCTGATCATGAAATAATCTTCCACTTCAGTATTGAAGTGGTCCAGCTTAAACAATTACAAAGTGCCTCATCATTGCACTAGATTTTGATTAATAAATACGTATGTACCTTGTCAGTGGTCACTGTTTCTAAGTTTTGGTAGCTGCAACTAATTTTTCACTTGTCCTAAGTGGGGCAGCTGCGTATACCAAGTGGGGAGCTTTTCTGTTCTTTTATAAGAAAAAAAAAGAAACGGACAAGAACTAGTCAGGAATTTGCTAGCTTAGGACTACTGTACTAGATATCTTTTCCCATGCCAATAGGCATTTGCTGTTTGATTTGCCAATTATTATATATAGTTCGTGGAGTGGACGTAATGGATAATATTTATATAGACCTTTCCGCATCCTTCTTCTCTTCTCTCTTAGAGTTATTTACAAAATTATGGACTATCACATATATAAAGACAATTATATCCTCACATAATTAAAAAGGAGAAATAATTATTAAATCACAAAATAGGTAAGAAATTGGAGACAAATATAGTAAAATCAACAATTAAAACAAAAGTCAACACCTAAATATTAAACAAAATCAACATTTAATGAAATGTTTTCATTTTAAACAGAAGAAAAGTTTCTTAAATGAAAAAAGTATCGAATCTGTTAAAAACAGTGGCTCTATTATTTTGCCAAAAAAGAAAACATACTTAAAACTCTGCACAAACTACATCTGCTTCAAAACCAGTTCTAAAAATTCTTCTCATGAAAATAATGATCAAACCATAATAAAAATAAAAAAAGCAAAGCACTATGTAATATTATTCATGGAAAATCATTAAAAAAACGTTAGAATAAGGAAGAAACATCAACCATAATGAAAGAAAAATTGTAAATAAGAAGAAACGTAAAACCTCGCAAGAAAATACGAATAAAAAGAAAAAAATTTTCTCTAAAATAATGATAAGATCATAATGAAATAAAATTGTAAAACAATAACTAATATCAGTCCAATAGAGAAGAAACGTTCCAATAAAAAAGAAACATGATCAGATCATAATGAAAAAAACAATTCTAATAAAGAAAACACATAAAACTTAACCAAAAAATATGTACATAAAAAATAAATATTTTCATTAAAGTAATAATTAGATCATAATGAAAATCAAAATCAAAATGACAAGTAATATCATTCACGGAAAATCATTAAAAATAATATAATAAAGAAGAAATATGATCAAACCATAATGTTTAAAAGCTCTATAAAAAAGAAACATAAAACCTCGCAAGGAAAATAATGATTAGACCATAATGAAAGGAAAAAAAAAAAAAACATGTACAGAAAGTAAATATTTTCACTAAAATAATTTGAGACCATAATGAAAAAAAAATATATAAAACAAAGAAACTTGCAACAAATAACACTGAAAAATGATTGGAAAAAACCATGACGAGCGAGTATAGAAGTAACAACGTAAACAAACCACAAACCTCACTACAACAAAAAGGATTATTAGCAACGACATTATTAGCGACAACATTTGTCGTTGTTAAAATTACCGTATTAGTGACAACATGTCATCGCTTAAAAGAGAACAAAATTTTTGAACGACTTGTCATTGCATTCCATATTTGCGATGACACGTTGTTGCACAAACTTTATATAATTACGACCACATGTCATCACTAAAATGGAACTCCATATTAGCGACGACATGTCATCGCCAATAACCATTGGAGTCAAAACTAATCTGACACCAATAATTTTGGTGCCAGTTTGTACATTATTTGCGAGGACATGTCGTCACAAATATTGATGTTACAGTTGGAGTTGATGTGTCCAAAAAGAGGCGGGAAATTTGGCGCTTTCCTGCGAATAGGTTCAAGATATTTTTTTATTTTTTGCGACGACAATGCAAAACGTTGTCGCCAAAAATGGTTCCAGAAAATTCTTTTCAGAACGACTTTTTTGCGACGACATGTGTCGTCACAAAAAAATGTTCCAAAAAATTCTATCAATGACGACTATTTTTTTACGACGACACGTGTCGTCGCAAATAACTGGAGATTTAATTTTTTCCAAAAATAGGGTGGAAACTTTGGCGGTTTCCTGAAAATGATTTGTGATGACATTGTTAAATTGTCGGCGCAAAAAAGGGGCCAGGGTATATTCCTCAAGAATATTCTTAAAAATATTAATGAGGTGAAGAAGAACGCCATTGTTTTAACATTAATTGCAACGAAGATTTAATATTTGTTGCGACGACATAATGTCGTCGCAAAAAATGGTCTGTATAAATGTGATGCCAGACCTCTTTCCGCCATTTTTTCCGGTGAGCTCTCGATTTTCTTGCTTCCTCTCCGTCCAAAACCGCCTCATTCCGTCCAGAACCTTCAAAAAAAGCTTAAATACTTCATTCTCTCTTCAAATCATTCATTTGCACCGAAAAATATTGTGAAAAAAACTGTGTTTTTTCCTCGCCGTTGCCGCCCATTTTCCGCCCACCGTCGCCCTCCCACTTTGCTACCTTACCGTTCTCCAACCCCCGGTATTTGTGGGTTTGGATTTTGTGAGTTAATATTTTGGTATTTTGTTAATTTATTTTGGTATTTTTGTTATGGTGTATAATTTTGTTTTAGATTTTAGATATAGTTTGTGGTTTTGAATTTAGAATTGTGAATTTTAAATTAGAATTGAAATTGAAATATGTAATAATTAGATTAAAATTTGTTTAATGATTATTATGTGATAATTAAAAAATTAGATAAAAATTTTAATTAAGACTAT